GAGAAGAAGTCAGTAGTGGGCAAAACAGACCTGAAGGAGGACGATGGTCTCCTTTCTGCTGAGCACACGTGTGGTAACCTGAAATATAGTCCTTGACGTCTCTATACATAGATGGCCACCAAAAACTGCGTTTAATGAGTGGAATGGTGCATCCCACTCCAGGGTGAAAGCAAAACTTGCCTGTATGGGCCCAGTGGACCACCTTACTCCTAAGGGTTTGTGGTACATACAGTCTGTCCGGGGGGCATGCCCTGGACCTGGGTCATTTTTGTGGGCCTCCAACACCTGGTCCCCGATGTCTCAGGTGACTCCACCCGCAATGCACGCCGGGTTAAGGATGGTGGAGGGTTCTGCCTCTTGGTCGGGAGCGTACTGCCTGGACAGGGCATTGGGTTTTGTGTTTTTTGAACCTGGGCAATATGAGATTTGGAAATAAAACCGGGAGAAAAACAAGGACCACCTGTATTGACGGGGTTGAGTCTCTTTGCCTCCTTCAGGTAAACCAGATTTTTGTGGTCCATCCAGATAATGGCTTCTCTGCTCCTTCCAACCAGTGCCGCCACTTCTCGAGGGCGAGCTTCACTGCGAGCAGCTCCCTGTCCCCGACGTCGTACCGGCTCTCAGCTGGCGTCAGTCGGCGGGAGAATAAAAGCACACGGGTGGAGTCGAGGAAGATACCTGGGAGAGAACAATTTAAGGGGAACTTAGGGCGCGCTGAGAATTCCAGCAGTTTAGGGGAAGAATACGGGAACCAGGGTCTGAGGGAGAGCAAACCAGAGGTGAGTCCACGTGATAAAGATGTAGTGGCGAAGTGGTTGTGCAGTCAGCTTGGCATGTAATTTTGGGGGCAGCTGCAGCTCAACAGGTTGAGCGGGTTTTCCAGTAATCGGAAGATTGCAGGTTCGATCCCGGCTCCGGACAAAGAATGCTGCTGTTGTGTCCTTGGGCAAGACACTTAACCCACCTTGCCTGCTGGTGGTGGTCAGAGGGTCCGGTGGCGCCTGTGCTCGGCAGCCTCGCCTCTGTCAGTGCGCCCCAGGGCAGTTGTGGCTACATCGTAGCTCATCCTCACCAGTGTATGAATGTGTGTGTGAATGGATGAATGATACACTGTAGTGTAAAGCGCTTTGGTGTCCTTACTCTGAGATGAGCTATACAAGTGCGGGTCATTTATCATGAAACAGTTGAGGCAGGAATACTGAGAGGGGACTTACAGGAGATGATCTGGTTTGGGTAATGAGGGGAGGTAGAGAGTCTGGGATGATCCAGAAGGGAAATCTCCTGAGCTGGAGAGGGAGCGCAGGGCTTGAGAGTGAGAGCGGGGCGGTCTGGGAGGAGGATGATGAACGTGGCTGCATGCGGAGTTCAGGAGTCCTATGGAGTTCGAGTGAGTAATTCCAGATGAGCAAAGAGCCTGAGGTGGGTGAGTCCAAAATTACAAAGATTACACAAGGTCCAAAAATGTACAAGAGCCAAAAATACACAGAGAGTAATCACGAGAAACCAAGAGAGCTAGAGCTAGGGCTGGGCACTACCAAGTCGCAGTAATCATCCGGCGTCGAGCTGTGTTCACCATCTCCTTTAGTAGAAGACTCGCTCCATCGACCCGCTAATCATCCGATGTGGTGCAGCTGCCGCTCCCTCTCCTGTGAACATACTCAGAGATAGTTTGTGAGAGCGAGTACTCACCCCGGCTCACGGCAATAGGATCAGGATCTATTTTAGCCACGAGCCACTTCTGGTACACAATTTCTGCAGTTAACACAGTGCTAGACAAGAAATCATAAACGGTTTCAGAGTAACCCCCCCAGTAATTTTAAAAATAAGACTATTGCAGGGAAGCAATTTCAAATCTATATAGATTATGTCAATACAAGTGACCTAGTGGCTTACTTACTCCCAGTATCATTCCAGAAGTGCAGCAGTGTGTTTTTTTTTCATGGCTTTAATCCTGGCAGTGGAGAGGAACAACATCATATATGACATCAAACAGCAATACCAAATGCAATTTCCTTCTTTTCAGTTTAATGGCAGATGGCATAAACAAACCATGACCTATGAAGTCTTGACTGATTTTGTGATCTTGAGAATCCAGCAAGAAGAGCGGCAGAGAAGCTGCTCTGTGGCTGAGATTCTCCCAGAATGTACTGGCACGCAACGGAAGCTGCAAGTAAACCGTTGCGCTGCCGTTCCGCATCACTGATGCTTCCAGTGTGAAGTAGGTGCCAGAGATAGGAGAAGAACATGACAGAGCTGTATGTCTCTCTTGTTCATACACAATGGTGTTAGGACCTTTCATTGTGATGACACTTTAACTGAAACAAACACTTGCTTTTAAGAAAAAAAATCATCCATTTACACGCCTTTGCAGGTCATCCACTGATGGGTTTTGCAGAGTGTTGAGAGAAACACCAGCTGTTGTGTTAACATGCACACACACGCACACACACGCACACACACGCACACACACACACACACACACACACACACACACACACACACACACACACACACACACACACACACACACACACACACACACACACACACACACACACACACACACACACAAAAGAGGGGTGAAATGTTTTAATACAGCACCTCTCACGATAAAAATCACAAGGCTCTTACAGCCCCATCACTCTTCCTCAGTGTGAGCTTCAGAGATTTTCAGATAGCATAAATAAAACAGACAAAGGAGTTAATGGGGACGTTGTTGTAAAGTTATAAAGCCTACAGGTGGAGCAGGTCAAGTCGAGGTTCATTGAAATTTCAAACCAATACAGCTGTGAGGGACTTTCTGTGTCCCCACCACTTATTTAGAACATTTAAGCACATCCACAATATCCTTTCAGCAGTAACATTCAAAACAGTTTATCACTGAAGCTATGACCTGCATCAAAATAAATCCATCCATCCATTTTCAACCACTTATCCGGGGTCGGGTCGCAGGGGCGGTAGCGTACGATGGGAGGGCAAGACTTCCCTCTTCCCGGATACCTGGAGCAGCTCCTCTGGGGGAATCCTAAGGTGTTCCCTGGCCAGCTGAGAGACATAGTCCACCCCATGGTGTCCTGGGTCTTCCTTTAGGTGTCCTCCCGGTTGGACATGCCCGAAAAACCTCACAAAGGAGGCGACCAAGAGGCATCCTGACTAGATGCCCGAGCCACCTCAATTGGCTAATCTCGATGTCGAGGAGCAGCGGGTCTACAACGAGCCCCTCCCGGATGACCAAGCTTCGCACCCTATCTCTAACCCCAGGTTTCCACGGGAGCCGTCAACAGCACGTTACTGCAGCAGCACGTCTTGCTCGCGTAAGCTGCTGCTTGGCCCTTCCCACGAGACGCGAAGCAGCAGGGGAGCAGCTGTCACCGACCGAGCACGAAGTCACACGAGTGACTTCGTCAGTAAACACAACAACAAGCAGGAGAAAACTACAACATGGTTTGTGTTTTATGTTCTGTCTGTTTTATAATCGCCAATACGGACCTGAAAAACAAAGGAGACCGCTAGCTAGGTGATAACTTCTCACGGGGCCGCACAGTTAGTAACTTTTTTTAAAGTAAAGCAACCGGAAGGCAGTACGTTCTTTATTCTGAAAATCTCGGTAGCTTCTCTCCATTTCCGCATCCGATTTCCTGTCTTTCCTTCCCCAAAAATGTCGAACTTGACCCGTTTCAGAGGCGTCGCGCGTAGAAAATAGAACCGGCGCGTAAAGGCCGCGACATGCTGCTCCTGAGACGCGGCCGACTCGCTCTGCTGACGGCTCCAGTGGAAAAGGTTCTGTTGACCACAGCGGGTCCTATCAGCAGCTATGACGTGCTGCTGCAGTAACGTGCTGCTGACGGCTCCCGTGGAAAGCCGGGGTAAGGGAGAGCCCAGCCACCCCGCGGAGAAAACTCATTTCAGCCGCTTATATTCGTGATCGCTTTTTCTGACCATGGGAATGTTGATCAACCAAAAAACCAAAAGCTTCGCCTTCCATCTGCACTCTCTCTTCAACATAACAGACTGGTGCAATGCTCACATCACTGCAGATGCAGCACCAATCCGTCCGTCGATCTCCTGCCCTCATTTGTGAACAAGGCCCTGACATACCTACCCTCCTCCACTTGGGGCAGGAGCTCGTCTCTGATCGGAAGAAGGCAGAGAATTGAACCTTTTCACAACATTCTAACTTTAAAATGTGGGGTTTTCTTAAGCAGTAAGCCATAGTCATCACAATTATAACAAAGGCTTAAAATGTCTGACTTTGCATGGAATGATTCTATCTCATATACTAGTTTCACTGCATAATTGCTGAAATTAATTACCTTTTGCACTAAAATCTAAATTTTCAAGTTTGACTTGCAATCACAATAAATATAAGAGACACCTTATCTGTAAACACTTCTGCAGCACTGTTTGGAGCTGGCCTGGAACACCCAACAACATATCAATGTAAATCACTGTTGCACATGCAGATATTCCTGTCTGTGTGTCCACTATTGTCAACATCACATGAGAGAGCTTGTTCAGTTTAAGAGGCATTTACTGACAAAAAAGATGAATGGATAAAGTTGACAGATTTTGACAACAAATTCAAGATTTCATTTTTATACATGAAATCAATAAATCAAGGGTTTTCAAAAGAGAAACATCCATCATCTGAAAAGGTTTAATCACATGTAGTCAGGACTTGTTTGGGACCGTTTTGCTCTTGAAACTTGAATATTGTTCTAAATTTCATCTGTCATTGGTAATGTTTTATGCCATGTTCTCAGGGTGTGTTTGGAACAGAGAGGCTAGACTTACTGTGTATATTTATTTATTTTGCTTTACTAGAGCTTGCAAAAGAAAAAAAATCATATTGATGCAACAATCATATTACATGTTGTTGTGATAAAAAGTCTCAGTGTTTTAGACCGAGAGAGCAACATTGGTCTGTAAGCTGTAGATTTTCTTTTGTTTTCTGGTCAGTCTTTAAGTTTTAATAAAAACTGAATACATTTTCCTTTCAGATACCAGTGGCCCCCGGCCAATCATCCCTCTCTTCAGTGGAGTTCCCAGATTCGGGGCTAGCCTACCCTCTGTGGGCCCAGCCCCTCACCACCATATCTACTTTACCCAATCCAGGAGTCCAGTTTCCTCCTGGTTCAGCATCCCCTCTCATCCACATGCCCTTGTCCTTGCCTTTAACCTCTGTGATCCCTCAACTTGATGCCCAGGATGTAAACCCTCAGCCCCAAATCGTGGACCTCCCACATCATTCAGAGGATCAGCTGGACCCAGAACCACAAGAGCAATCTTTGAGTGAAGAGACAGAAGAAGAATCAGAATCATCCAACCTGCTGGACAAACTCCTGGAGGATCAGAAAGGGCACGATGAAGAAGAGGACAAAGACTCATACACCAACTCCCTTTTTTTGCCTAACATCTGAAAACTGACTGTAGTTTCTCCATGAAACTAAGTCCTTTTCTTTCTCACATATGTGAATGCATAACCACAGTGTTTTTGAGGGTATGTTTTGTAGGTGTGGCTCTAGAAACATTCAGAAACAAAGATGGGTCACCATGATCTCCTGAAATTCCTGAAACACAAGAAACATGGAATACACTCGCTTGCATTTTTATCATGAAATGCCACAAATTTCCTTTTAAAATAATTGTTTTTAGTTGTCACTTCAGACCTGTGTCCAGTTCTTCTGATATTTGGGAATTGTTGTAACCATCTCTTTTTGCTGCATGCTTGCAGCCCTCCCCACAGATGTTTAAATCCTCCCCCACTCAGGTGTTTATAGCAGCAGTCATGTTTTCTGGCAGACGATTGCTGGAAAGCTCAGAAAGGTGGGATGCAAACTTCTACAACTACAAACCTCAAACCTAACTAAGGCTTTAAGGTGTGGAAGTCTAAAAACGTTTTAATGATTATTTCTGATTATAATAGAGCTCCGGGAGTTGACGTCACTTCTCCCGGCATGCAACAGTTCAAATCGAAACGGCGCCATATTGGCAGGCAGAAGCCGGCAGCTGAACTATTTGTTATTGTCAGAAAACTCAATCAGACAGGAGATACGGTAGATTCCTGTTGTGCCCCAGGATGCAGAACAGACGCAGACGACATAAGGAATGAGCCATCTACAGGATTCCCCAAGATCCGGAGCGCCGCAAACGTTGGATCATTGTAATAAAACGCGCTAGTGACCGGGCTAAAATGAAACTGTGGGATCCCGAGAGTAAAGGTTTTCATTAATGCAGCGACCACTTCATATCAGGTACTTAAACCAACATTTCCTCAACTGTGTATGGTATTTATTTTAAATGCTTTTATTACGATTCTTAGTGGGCTTCCTAAACTTATTTTGGCGTGGCTTTTTCTGTCTTATTACTCATAGCAGCAAGAAAACATCACGTAAAACGTTGCCTCGTGATTTCTGCGTGCTGCCGTTTACGTGTTTTATGATCACAGCAATTAACCGACTAAGCTGTATTTAATTTTTAAGCAATGGTTGATCAGGTGTCAGATCACACATAAAAAGCACTTTGGATTGCTATTATCTGTCTCACCGAGACAGATCTCAGACAGATCCTGAGACGCTCCTGCCTGACATATTTATTTTATTCACGGAAAAAAAATCAAACTAGTGATTTCTCTTGGCGTTCAGTTTATACATTCAAACAGCACAGCACTCTATTTAAACTACTTACATGTAAATCAGTTATTTGTCCATCCATCCATTTTCATCCGCTTATCCGGAGTCGGGTTGCGGGGGCAGTAGCGTCGAGAGGCCCAGACTTCCCTCTCCCCAGCCACCTGAGCCAGCTCCTCCAGGGGAATCCCAAGGGGTTCCCCGGCCAGGTCCAGTAAGAAGTCCGCTCCGACAGCTTCTGGCGTTTTTAAAAAGTATCCCAGGGGCACGGTAAGGGTCGGAGATGTTTAGTCTATTTAATTTCTGACTATAAAAAATGAGTTTTTCAGTTTTAAAGTGTGAAGTAAAGTCCAGCGGAGTAAAATTCAAGCCGATCCCGTTCATTTTGTTTACGTTTGTTGCCTGCCAACATGGCTTCTACTCTCTGAGAGTGACGTGACGTCCGGAGCTCTATAGGTCACTGTGAGTTTTTCTTGCAGGCTGAACATGAAAAAGGTCCCCTCCACCTACCTTCTGCATTAACTTCTGAGACGGTGAAACTCTAGGATTTGAAAACCCTGACAGATGTACGTCACACTGTCACTGAGCATTCATGGACTCACCCATCTTGGCTCATGACGGAGAAGGCTGTTGTTGGTTTAGTGTCCAGGAGACAGCAGTGAATGTCCCTACTGGTAGAAGCTAACCATTAGCAACTCCACCACACAGCAGAACTTATTCAGGCTTGTGTTATTTGTGGGGATAAAAAAATCCATGTTGCAAGGCAGTGGTAGTGCTGTTATCCAATCAGAGGCGAACTGTCTAAACATCAGGAAATAAGACTCCAAATCCGGCTTGTCCACGCTGATCTAAGCGATTCTGGGTGTTGTTGTTTGTTTTTGTTTTTTTTGCCCTGAGTACGGCTTGCAAGGCATTCATTCCTACAACAGGCCACTATAAATGTACTGATTAAATGCGTTTCCCATACCTTTTATAAAAATCCATAATTATAACTCGTGTTGATTTTTTTAAAGATAAGTAAGTACAAGACCTGTTACGGATTTTAAATGTTTTCATGTTTCCAGCAGTTAATTCTTTAATAATGGATGTTTTAGACACAGAATTTATGCCTTTACTTTTGTCTGTGTTTGTAAAATGTCATGTTTGTCATTAACAAAGAAAATTAAATATTTATTACATTATAAGAAAAAATAATAAAACACTTTAGTAAATGTCTGTAAGTCCTGAGAATGATCAGTTGTGTTGAGAGCGACAGAACAGAGACGTAGGAACGCGACTCATCCACCCTCACCAAAACAAAGACGACTTTCTGAGAGATGATGCATTCCCTGAATGTTTCTCTTTTTGAACCAACCTCATGACTTTAATCTATGCTGTTTTATTTTAATAAAAAAACTGCTAGTTGGTTAAATGAGAGTCGAGTGATTGCTTTAATGCTTTTATTGGCATTACAGCAAATACAGTTGACTTGCTCTTGGCAGTGAAGACCTCCCTGTTTCGGGGATTGCCTCGGGGGAAACTGACATGATGGGATGAAAAGCAACTCGTTTGTCAAATCCGTGACCTGGAAACTGTGCAGATCCTATCAGAGGGAGAAATGCGGCAGTGCTGCACACGTGTGAACAGAGGCGGGTGTTGCTTGGGTTGTTTCATGCAGATGGCAAAAACTGTAAAAACAACAAAACAAATCGTGTGACGATTGGGACCACAGACTGATGCAAGCAATGACAAGAATGTAAAAAAAAAATAAATATGTAAAATCATCCACCATTAAAATTAATCCTAACATGTAAATGTTAAATGCAGTGCCCAGAACTGTAGCTGATAGATTCTGAGGAAAAGAGCACATTAACAAGCTTATAATGTTCTTTTTAATTTATTGCAGAACTAAAATAATGAATGAGAAAAGAAGTGCATTTGATTTGATAAGACACCTTGGTGTTTATACTTAAACTTTGTTTATAGTTTATGTCAGTAGGGGTCGTCAGAGTCGAAGTGATCTGAGGGAAGTTGGAAAAATGTTGTCTTTAATTCTGACATTTTTAGTCATTTTTGTTCTCAAAAACTATGTAGAGAAAAGGGAACATTTTGCACATGTGTTGTCTCAAAACTACATCAAATTAAAGAATGCTCGCAATGTGGAAATTGGTAGTTTGCCAATACTGAATAAAGGGAAACTAAGTAAGTTAATCCTAATTTAATTTTAATTAAAAACACTTGAGCCAGTATGTGCTAAAATTATCTTTATTAAATTCAAATTCAAAAATACTTTATTAATCCCAGAGGGAAATTGATTGCTGTAGTAGCTCATAATAATAATAATAATAATAATAATAATAATAATAATAATAATAATAATAATAATCAATTCATCAAAGAGTTATTGTATATTACAATGGCTGTGGGCAGGAAGGATCTTCAGTAGTGGTCAGTGTTGCAGCGAAACTGAAGAAGCCTCTGACTGAAGACACTCTTCCGTTGTTGGACAGTCTTCTGAAGAGAATGCTCAGGGTTGTCCATAATTTTCTTGATTCTCTGGAGAATCCTTCTTTGCATTGTTTCCTCCAGTGGTTCCACAGTCGTCCCCAGAACAGAACCAGCCTTTGTTATTAGGCTGTTTAGCCTTTTCAGGTCCCTGCTTCTGATGCTGCTACCCCAACAGACGATGGCTGAAGAGATTACACTCTCAACAACAGACTTGTAGAAGATCTGCAGCATCTTGCTACAGACATTGAAGGACCTAAGCATCCTCAAGAAGTGCAGTCTGCTGTGTCCCTTCTTGTAAACGGCTTTGCTGTTCTTTCTCCAGTCCAGTCTGTTGTCCAGGTGAACTAAAAGGTATTTGTATTCCTCAACAACCTCCACTTCTTCTCCCATGATGGAAACTGTGTTTGACTGCACCCTGTTTCTTCTGAAGTCTAAAATCATCTCCTTTGTTTTGTTCACATTCAAGGTCAGATGATTGTTTCCACACCATGCCACAAAGCACTCCACCAGCTCTCTGTACTCAGCTTCCTGTCCATCTCTGATACACCCGACGACTGCAGAGTCATCTGAGTATTTCTGTAGATGACAGGTCTCTGATTTGTACTGGAAGTCTGAGGTGTACAAGGTGAAAAGGAATGGTGAGAGTACAGTCCCCTGTGGTGCTCCAATGTTACTGATCACCGTGATTGATATGCAGTTCTTCAGCCTCACAAACTGTGGTCTGTTTGTCAGGTAGTCTTTAATCCAGGCGATAGTTGAGTTCCCCACCTGTGCCTTCTGGAGTTTCTGGCAAAGTACATCAGATTGAATTGTGTTAAATGCACTGGAGAAATCAAAGAACATGACCCAGACAGTGATGCCTGCTTTGTCCAGATGACAGTGGGTTGGTTAATCAATTTCCCTCTGGGATTAATAAAATATTTTTGAATTGAATTGAATTGAAGCAGCTGGATGATGGCATCTTCAACTCCAACTCCATGGCGATAAGCAAACCTGCAGCGGGTCCTGATATGTCCTGTTCGCTTATTCAGGTGGACCAACAGGAGTCTCTCCAGGACCTTCATGATGTGGGATGTCAGGGCAACCGGTCTGTAGTCGTCATTGACTGATGGGCGAGTTTTCTTTGGAACTGTAACAAGGCAGGATGTCTTCCACAGGACTGGAACCTTCTCCTGGGCCAGGCTGAGGTTGAAGAGGTGCTGCAGAATCCCACAGAGCTGCTCTGCACAGGCCTTCAGTACTCTGGGGCTGACACCATCTGGACCTGAAGCCTTGTTCCTGTTCAGTCTCTCCAGCTGCCCCTTCACCTGACTTCTAGAGACAGATAGGTGGGAGGGGGAGGTAAATGGGGCAGCAGCATCTCCTGACTTGGTTGAAGACAGATTTATAGAACCAGAAGAGTCCATGACTGCGTTAGAGGACAAAAGAGCTGGCGTGTGACAGGAAAATGTTGGATCAGAGGAGGATGGGATGTCTGATTGGCTGGGGACAGGCGATGAAGATGCTGGGTTTGTTACTGACCTGAACCTGTAGCATACATGAAGGATGACACTTTACTGATGAAGTTTTGGATTTAATGACGATGACCCTCAATTTCACTGTAAGAGCTGGAGATGTGTACAAAAAAGACCCATGTAAATAGATCCATACTCTTACATCAATACAACTGTTATTAACAGTTTACAACAGTTTGCAACATACACCATAAATTACAATTTCCTTAGCTTTATAAAATAAATCAATGCATTTGGATCTAACCATTTTATAACAAAACTTTTTTAAAACATTAGTACATTAAGGCTGCGCAGTGGCGCAGTGGTTAGAGCTGTTGCCTTGCAGCAAGAAGGTCCTGGGTTCGCTTCCCGGCCTGGGATCTTTCTGCATGGAGTTTGCGTGTTCGCCCTGTGCATGCGTGGGCTCTCTCCGGGTACTCCGGCTTCCTCCCACCATCCAAAAACATGACTGTTAGGTTGATTGGTCTGTCTAAATTGTCCCTAGGTGTGAGTTTGTGTGTGCATGGTTGTTTGTTCTGTGTGTCTCTGTATTGCCCTGCGATGGACTGGCTCTCTGTCCAGGGTGTACCCCGCCTACTTGCCCGTTGACTGCTGGAGATAGGCACCAGCCCCTCCGCGACCCTACGTGGACTAAGTGGGTTCAGAAAATGGATGGATAAGTACATTGAGATAATAAATTTACCTTGTGCCTCTATCAAGGGGGCTGCTGATAGCAAAATCCATATTAGATCTCCGTCAAAGCTGCTTTGGCCGTTTTATCGCTGTTAAGCTAGCTTGCATTAACTGTTAGAACAGGAAATATACCCTTCAAAGTAAAAGCATTTCATTCAAACAGGAAGTTAAAACGGATTATAAATAAAGGCACATTGTGCCAAATTAAAATACAAGCAAAAGAAGATGTCATTTTAGGGTTAGTTACAGAACCTATTGAAGAACTTGTTCAGTTCATTGGCTGTGTCCTGGCTGCCATCTGTGCAATCCTTCCTCAGCTTGAAGCCTGTGATCTTCTTCATCCCTGACCAGACATCTCTGATATTGTTCCTCTGTAGTTTGTTCTCCAGCTTCTTCCTGTATGCCCTTTGCTGTCTCTTCAGTTGCTTCTGTATACTCCTCAATAATTCCCTGTCTCCCTCCTTGAAGGCTCTTTTTTCTCATTTAGCATATTCTTCAGTTCATTGGTGATCCAGGGTTTGTTATTAGCGAAGCATCTCACTCTTCTGGTGGATATGATATTATCCACACAGAAGTTTATATAGTCAGTGACACATCCAGTCATGGCATTGATGTTCTCTTCATATCCTTGGCAGAGAGTCATCCAATCTGTGGTCTCAAAGCAACTCTGCAGGGCTTCTTCGGCATCCTGTTACCATTTTCTCACAGTCCGTATTCTGAGCAGAGAAAAACAAGATTGGGATCTGATTGTCCCAGAGGAGGTCTAGCTTTGGACATGTATGCATTCTTTACAATTGCATAACACAAATCCAATGTCTTGTTTTCTCTGGTGGAGCAGCTGACAAACTGTTGAAATGTTGGAAGTGTAGCAGAGAGTGAGGCATGATTAAAATCACCAGATATAGCCACAAATGCATTGGGGTGCTGGGTTTGTAGCTTAGCCACAACGGAACTGATGGCATCACATACATTTTCAGCAATGGCTGAAGGTGGAATATAAACAGTTGCCGAGACAACACTGGTGAACTCTCTTGGCAAATAATATGGGCGACAACTTACTGCCAAGAGTTCAACATCTGGGCTGCAGTGACAACATTTCACTGAAACATGACATGGATGGCACCATCTGTTGTTGACATGCACTACCACTCCACCTCCTTTTCTTTTCCCGGTCCTCTTCAGAACTCTGTCTGCTCGTACAGTCAAGAATCCTGGCAAAGAGACACTGGAATTGGGGATATGGTCCTGCAGCCACGTCTCACTGAAACACATAACACTACACTGCTGATATTCTGGCTGAGTCCTTGAAAGGGCTTCGAGTTCATCCGTCTTGTTGGCCACTGATCTAACATTGCCCATTATGATTGATGGAAGAGATGGTTTGAATTTCCTCTTTCTCTGTCTCCGTTTTGCACCCGTTCTGCACCCACGCTTCTTGCGTTTTAGCTCATTTGGGATTTGTGGCTTCAGTTGAGGTATCATTTCAGCCTTCCCAATGTTAATCAGCTGCTCCCGATTGTAAACCAGCTTGTTGCCATGGATAC